TTGAACGACTTTCTAAGGATTTCTTAATGGAACATTTTAATCTGCAAAATTGGATATTTGAGTATATTAGCTACAAAGTAAATCTAAAAAACATTCTCTATCCTAGTTACAATATATTTAAGGTACAATCGGAGCTAGAAACATAATATTTTAAAAATTTAAAATTTAAAAAAAAACTTTAGAATGACTATTTCTGGCAAAAATGTAAACATTTTTGTTTAAATTTTTAAGAATGCTTTTGAGATACTATTTGAACTACAAATGTGGATATTTCAGGAGTATTATTAAAATATATTTTGGGGGTTATATGTCTTTATATTTTAAGAATATTTCTATTTTACAATTTGACTTGCAGACGAGATTTAAACGTGGATTTTTAAACATATTTTAAAGGGACTAAACAAGAATATTTTTAAGTGGAAGTACTCGATCTAGTAACGAATGTATTTTATGTATTACTTTTAAGGTACTATCCAAGCTACAAAGGAGGAATATTATGAGTTATATATTAAGGGATTATTCGAGCTATAAACGTATATATTTTAATAATATTTTGTAGGGCTCATTGAGAATATTTAGAATATTGTTGTAGAACTGTTTGTGGTACAAACATGCAATTTTAAAGTAAACTGTGGGGGTGGTCTGTTGGAGCTGTTTGGATATTTTTAAATACTTTTTTAGACTGTTTGGGTACAGATTTTCCTTATTTTTAAAAATATATATTTTTGGGGAGATTTTTGTGGTTATTAGCGTTTTAAACGCTTGATTTATAAATAAACTGCATAATTATTTTTTTTTGCACTTTGGTGTAATTATAGAACTTTTATTTATTTATTTTTGTTTTTCTTTTCAATTCTCCAGGTCATTTGGTTTCTCACATGCGTTCTCATTCCGGTGAGAAGCCACACGCTTGTACATTATGCAGTAAGGCTTTTGTGGAAAGGGGCAATTTGAAACGTCATATGAAAATGAATCATCCAAATGCTCCAATGCCACCTCCACCAGTGCCACATCCCATAATACCAGCCGGTGTATTGCCGCAGATAAAACAAGAAATAAAACCAGTTTTAAGTGAATTAAGTGAGTAACTGAAAAAAACGAAAACCTTTTTATGGTTATTTGTTAATAATAATTCTATTCTTTTTCTCGCTTAGCTCCATTGCAAACAGCTCCCATTGCACATACCATACAACATATAACAGCTGGTGCTGGAGGTAATACAGTGCAATTGGCCACAGGACTGGTGCCTTTGGTAACATCGACCATAACATCTCATGCCACGCAGAAACAAGCGCCTCCATCACAAGCCCAGCCGGCTGCTCAGCAGCAACAACAGTTGCAACAGCAGCAGCAACAGGTGGTGAACAGTCATCAGCAACAACAACAACAGGCCGCTGCGGCTGCGGCAGCTGCAGCCCATCAATTGCAACAACATCAGCAGCAGCACCAACAACATCAGCTAATGCAATTATCTTTGCAACAAGCAGCTGCTGCTGCGGCAGCTCAACAACAATTGCAACAACATCAGGAACAGCAAAGACAACATCATCAGCAGCAGCAGCAACAACAACAGCAACAAAATCAACAACAAGCTCATCATCAGCAAGCAGCTAGCAATGTTGTTGTTGCCTCAGCCCATCAAGCCAATCAACAACAGGCCAACCAACAGCAGCAAGCGCAACAGCAACAACAACCACCACCACAAGTGCCAATCGCTTTAATACAAGATCCTGAATTGGCCCGTGCTGCCATGCAACAATTGCAACACATGCCGCCGCCTAATGTTGAACAACATCCAGTTGTTTACTAACAACAAAAGCAAAATGCTAATATCATAATATGGTAAAGGCAAGGATATATGAAATAAATTATAAGAAAAGCAAAACTAATAATAAAAAGAAATAAATAATAACAAGATGAAGTGAAAAGGAGAACATTAAATTTCCTTAGGGATTTTAGAATAAAAAAAACCTCTATTAATTGTGGATTTCTTTCATGTATATTTTTTATAAAACTTTCTATTCTGTATTTTTTTTTTATTGTATAATATCTATTTATTTTTTTTTTAATATTTTATATGGTGTGTGTGTGAATGTGAAATTTTATGACCTCTAAAAGAGCTAAATTATATTGCATTTTTTCCCTTTTTTCTTGAAAGATGATTTAATATTTTTTAAACAACAAAAAAGTTTTACAAGCTATTGGTTTTGAATTTCCTATTGAAGTTCATACTTGGATATTCAAGAACATTTGAAGTTATTTCGAACCTATAAAAGGATATTGCCGGAGTAGAACTTTGATAATTTTGAATAAGCAATGGAACTGCTGAGTCTATGTACAGGCATAATAAAATATCTCAGTAGCTTAAAGAAATTGCTCGGTACATGTTTCAAAAATATGTGTGTATAAATAGAAAAATAGACAGACTCTTTGAATATAAAAACTTGTAATTAAAGAAGGATCTTTATTTGAATAGTGGATATGTATTTAAAAAAAATATTCTTACTAATTATTGAGCATGGATTTTAAAAGCTTTGGACTGGAAGAACCCTAAAAGACTTTAGTGAATGCAAAAGTTTGACAACTTCTGTCAAGCATAAGATCAACAAATATGAGGTAAAAGTTTCACACATTCACATACATATATCACAACAGATTATTTTTATTTTTATCATCTCATTTGTGCAATTATTGTATACATAGTTCTTTTTTCGAATCAAGTAGCTGGGCTACCTAAAAAATATAATCAAGAGCATGTTTCATAGAAACAGGAAAACAAAATTGCTCCAAAAATTTGCAACTCTTACGATTTGAATAAGAAATCCACAAACAAAATTCCACACTTCCCGTTTAAACAAAATCCCCAAAAAGAAATTGTTTATTCTCCTTTTCTCACTTTTAAATAGGCTTTAAAACATATTATTTATATACACAAGAAGTTATTTTACATATAAATAAAAAAAATAACTATTAGTTTTTAGCATTAGAAACACACAAAACCAACAAACTTCCCCCTTCTCCTCACATTAACATTTAAGATTAATTGGTAATGAATAATGAAAACAAACACAACCCAGCCTAAAAGTAATTCTGAATTAATTTCAGTAGAGCATTAATTATATTAACAGTAATATATAATAAAAAATATATATAAATACATTAAACATGTTTTTTTTTAATTTCTTCAATCTCTGTTTCCTTCTTCTTCTGTTTTGTTAACCAAATTGATATGACTTTCTCTTTCACACCAACAAAATTGTTATTGCTTTAAAAACGGCAAAAAAAGAAACCTAACAAATATTTTGGTTCCAGAAAAAATGTATTAAAACTTTGCATTTCTCCAACTATTCTATCCCACACGAATATTATTTCAAAGTGTTAAATTGCAAAAAAAAAGAAACTTAACAACCACACACACACATGTAATAACGCATATATTATGATGGTATATACATACAATATATAAATAAATAACACTTATATCTAACCAATTGTTTAAAACAAGTAAAAAATGATTTTTTTACACAACAACAACATAACAAGAAAAAAAATTGTTTAGTTTTTAAAAATAAAGAAAAATAATATAAAAATATTAAAACAAAATTGGAACTATATATTCTATATTTTATTAATAATTAATTAATCCTCTTAAAAATAAAACACAAGCATACGACACATCCCCACAAACACCACCCCCCACCACCATCAACATTTAGTTTGTTAGTATTTGTATTTGAATCATAAGTATATAATTTGAAATACCTATTATTAATATACATTAATAAATATATGCTTTAATATTAAAAAAAACTGAAAAACAAAATTATATATAACACATACATTTTAAAAACAATACATTTGATGTTAAATAAAACAAAAAAAAAAAAAACAAACACCTTACATTATTTACATACATGGTGCTTCAGGCAAAAAAAAATAGGAAAACCAGATACATACTTGTAAAGTGAAGTTTGAGGAGAATGTAGCTCCTATTTTCGTGCAATACCATTTTGGAAACAACAGTCATTATCTTTTCACTGCGTATTTGTGCACCACTTTAAATACCAGTAAAACGCCAGCTATTCTTCCACAATGTTATGGCTTTTCAGAATGAGTAATGGATTGGTGGTCATAAGAAGCTTGCTCCTCTCGGCATCAGTGCCATTCTATGACTTTTAATTCACTCAAAAAAAAATTTTTTTTTTAAGGAAATCTACAAATTTCATTTCCAAAAAGTTGTATTATTGCCCGGCTATTGAAAACAACAACGACAGCGAAATTAAGTATCTGAAACAAAAACTGTAGATGGAGTTTTTTCATAAAAAATAGGTTTTGACAATGGTGTATTTTATTTGTACATAGCTCCAGAAATACTTTTTTATATTTTCAAACTAGAACAACGGAATTTACTCTTTCTCACACAATCAATTTTTTTCGAATCAGGATAACATATTCTCAAAGACTTTTACATTTATTTTTAAGTGGGAGTAACTTCTAAGCCTAAAGGGAATCACATTCAAGGGATTCAATTAGTTTTAACCAAATGGCGCTCAATGCAAATTTCATGACAGTCAAAGCCTTCCTAAGAATCTATGGTTACCATAACATCAATTATTACAGTTGTTGATATATTTTTGAACGCGAGTCATAAATGGTTTAATTTTCGAAAATAAAAAATATTTAAAATTCATGATGTAATGCTTTTAGAATCGCCTTTAGAAAGAGTGTCTTCAATATTATTATCGCCTTTTAATCGTTTCGTTAGTGGAACAAATTAAATGGAGATAGGTTTCTACAAACTAAGACCTTTTATATATCTCCCACAGATATTTTTTATCCGTCCGGTTAGTAATGGAACATAATTTTAATCAAATGGCTGGCCATGTAGTAGCCTATACGATTGGTCCAATTTTAAAGCACATTATCGATTGTTGTGCAGCTGCATTTCATCAATGGCTTCACGAATATTGTCCTTTAAAGCGTCAATTGTCTCTGGCTTATGGGCGTAACTCTTATATTTGATGGCACAAATAATAGTCCGACGGTGTCAAATCGCATGGCCTAAAACATCGCGTGTAGCTTCGGTTGTTGTCAATATCGTACTCTTCAATTGTTGGAAACAAAAATTCGCTGGCATAGACTAATAATGTAAAAGCCACTCGAAGAAAAATTACCCAATTATGCTACCGGACCAAAATCCCCACCAATCGTTATGACTTTCAATCAGGGCTATTTAAAACTGCGCATCACCGAAAATTTAGAAAAAAATAATAATAAAAAATACTTTTCTTCAACTTTAAAAAAAAATTCTCTTCAATTACTATTTCAAAAAATCATCTGAAATATCAGTGTAATTTGTTAAAAAAACAACGCTTATTTATAATTGTGGGGAAATGGCAACGTTTACCAAGAGGTATGGAAAAATTCTCATTCATTCTGCTGTTATATATATTTTTCAATTTCGCTATTATTCTACATTGGTGTATTTCTTCAAGCGGTAATGTATGTCATCGCTTATTTTGTATGGTTCTTTCACTTCTTCACAATTAATGGGAGCTCCCATTCACAAAGGGAATGCGAATTCCCATTCACATTGATTTACTATTACCACATTATGGGAACAAATAAAATCAGCTGATATTTTCGAACATTAAATTATATTTGCTGATGTAGATTTAAATTTATAAAATTTTCATTTAAAAAAAAAAAATCCATACAATTTCAAAGGAAATAAATGTTACTAAATTTGAAAAAAATATTCCCATTTCGTTTCATAATACGGGAATTCACATTCGAACACCGCAATTTGGGAAAAAATTATAATAACAACATTAGGAAATGGAAACAACATTTATGGATAATTATTTTCACAATAGGGGCGATTGAGAATTCCTAATTATTCAGAACTCGCTACATTCTAAATAATTTCATTTTGCAAGTACATATCAATTTTTTAGTTACTGAAGCACATACGTTATTATTAAAAAAAAGAAGAATAAGTAAAGGTAAAAAAAAACGCGTAAATCCACTAGAGCAAGAAAAAAAGTTAGGACCCCCGTATAAAAACATTATTATACGTATAAAAACATTATTAACCCATTTTAATTGTCATCTTAACATTAGTAATGAAGGGATACACACTTTCGATATATAGATATGATTAAAATGCCGTCTCTCCTCCCATTTACAAAAAGAGCATAGATGCAAAGAACTTAGAACTTGGTTTCGTTTGTTGTTGTATCCACCAATAATGTGTAGTGTAACATTGTAATTGTACTAATTATTTAGTATTTAAGTTTTTTTTTTGTTTTTAGTATTTACCAGCAACAAAATTATTATGTAATTATAAATAATTGAATGCATACATCTATACATATATAAAACAAAAAAATAATAATATACATAAATTGATTGTGTTTAATTTTTGATTGGAAAGATTTTATTTCATATTTTGTTACAGCCAAATGACCATAGTGATAATGGGATCTAAGTCTAATTAAAAGTTTCGGAGTTTCAATTTTCCATCTGCTTTAAATGACCAAAATTATATGTCCCGTAAAACCTATCAAACTTCTACTTCCCATCCCTCTCTCTCTCTTATGCGATAATACAGAACATCTATATTTGGCGACACACCCAGCAATCATTTCCAAACTAACTTTTCCATGAACATTTACAAAAAAAGTTAGAAAAGTAAGCATTTTAGTGTCCCTTCCTGCTAACGTTGCTGTCTGAAGTAGATGTATCTATCAGTTACGTAATTGAAACCAATTCGATTTAACTTGTGGAGTTGAAGTTTTCTTTTTGGCAGAATGTCTAATTTTAAAATACAGTAAATCGATATATGCCAAATTAAGTCGGGATTCAACACATACCTAGGTATCAAACAACTGTCATTAATTTTGGAAGATGGATTTCCCTACAATAATCTGTAATAATGTGATTTTAAACCATAACTTTTTTCCAAGGCAGAGAGGGTAGGCCTGTCGTAGCAAAATCACTGGCTTTAGTGCAAAATCACTGGCTTTAGTGCATCCTAAATAGCGCATGGTTGAATCTAATACTGGCAACTCTGTATGTTGTTTTTTTTTATTTAATGCAAAATTTCTTTGTTATTATCTTCCAAACTTTGTGTTTAATTTCTTTTCTCTAAAAACCCCCAAACACATATGCAATATATTCGATTTCACTCCCATACAACGGGAATTGGGTTAATTTCTACTCAAAATTGCCTAAATTTTAAACAATTATGTATACACAAAAATAAGTTGAATGAAATTACACAATTACAATTCACCCAATTCCCCTTTCTATGGCCATCAAAAAACTACCTTTGTTCCAAAGAAGCAGGGATCAAATGAAATAATTTTTAAATAAAACAACAAATACACCATAGAAAATCATCAACTAGTTTCCTAGATGCAATAACATATAAATAAAACAAAATATATACATATATAGTAACTTGCATATTTACAACAGAGATATAAATAAAAAGAAAAAACATAAATAAATATATACATCAAGTGCATCCAATATAGCTATAACAAAAAAAAAAACAACTAACAAAATATATATTCTTATAAAGCATATAACTAATATGAAGAAAAAAAAACAACAATAATACCTACCTATACAAGAAAATAGTACACTTCCACACAGATGATGTATACGTTACACTGGCGTTTCACGAAAAAGATATAAAAATAGAATGCAATGTTAAGACAAATTAATAGTTTTGGTTATAAAAGTTGAGACAGAATTTTAACATGTACACCTTAGTTCAATAACTGTTGGTCTTGGCCACTAATTTGTTGAAAACATCTATTTTATCAACAGATCCAAATTCTGGCAATAAGACATTTAGTTTTATCATTTCCCAGACAAATTACTGAAAGTGCTTCTTCTTGCTTACTATCTAATGCAGGTTTTCAGAGCAGCTTCAACTTCCCCCATACAGAAATTTAATCTTTTCAAGTTCCTTCAAAGATAGGATTCCTTACCATTAACCAAAAGTGTTTAAACATGTACAGTTTTTCGAGATATAATTGAAATTTAGACATAGTACTTTTTTCATATGTTTGTGTTTTAAATAGAAAACCTATAAGTCTTCCATATTTGGTTTCCCTTTTTGTAGGCCTTTTACAGTTGAAAGGCCTTTCAACGAGTTTTCTCCAGTTAGACTACTTGCTATATTCTTTGTTAAGGAACCTTCTGTGGGTCCTCTAGTGAGCGAACATTTTCAGTAGTTCTTCCGAAGATAGGAGACATAAATAGTTGACGATATTACAGATTTGAAAATCGTTCTGATTTAAGGGAAACTTCCATAGATCTTCTTGTGAAAGAAAACCTATCACTAGTTCTTTTAAAACAGAAGGCCTAATTGGATGTTTTTTGAAGAGTCTTAACCATATTGGCCACATAAAAAAAATTTTAGAAGACCTCTACACATAGACCTCATAAAATTCTACTTCGATCTTTTACAGGGATAAAACCTGAGGATGACGAGAGTCAACCTTTGAGGTTGTTTTAGCCTGGGTCAATCATCGGATTCCGATATTCTGGCTTTTAGTAAATAAATATAGAGCCTGTAATGACCTCGGAGCCATAAAATTCTTTAGCCAACCTCTCTGTCTTTTCAGGTTTGTAAATTGAAGCCAACTCTTTGCTTTCCGTATTAATTTTTGGAGTCACTTGTTTATGACATCCCTTTCGCCAATGTCCGATGGCTTTCGTTCAGAATTAGTCAACGAATTTTATTGGTGTTCCTCTCAGGGTGCCCTGTGTCAATGGCAGCAAGTTGTAGATGGTGTTTTACAATTCTATGGAAGCTATTGTTCTTTCATTCCGTTTTGAGATTTGCTAATCAGATTTAAAGAGATGTGCAGATTTGCTTGTCAAAGTCTTCTCAAGTTTTAGTGAAAACACCTCCTGGTTTAGTATTTGTTTAAATTTAATGAAATATTCAACGGGAGTTGCTCCTACATAGCTGTACATGATCCTCACTGCTTCCTCCCTCTCAGAGACAGTTTCCTGGATATAAGCTTTCTGTAAAAGTTCGACGATCTTTTACTTTTCCTACATGTTTTGGTCTTCTTGTTGTCGATACAACCGGACAACATTGCATGTTACCGAACCCCCCTCAAATGAAGAGTACGGCATCATCGTGTTTGGCCGGTTCTCAGATTTATATGGTCTGTGACCCTCAGTCCCTCGTATCTATAATGGTCCGGAAAACAAGGTCGAAATACCAACCTGGTTGATTCGTAGGAAAACATGTTTGTCAATAGAATTAGTAACTGGTATACTCAGTTTTTCCACAACGCTATTGATAAGAGTGGCTTCGTCCGGTCGTCGCTTGAACTGCGGCATTGGTAACCATGGTGTGTGTGGAGCCTTTAAATAGTTCGTCCATTTAGCATTATAACTCGCAATTATTGCTTATTTTGATTCGAAGGACCAGTTGAAGCACACGATAGCATTAACTCATTAGCATGAGTTTATTAAAATCTTGTTCTTTTCGGAAAACAACATTGGGAGGATATATTTGTTCTGTGTCCCTAGGTTACAATGTCAGATTTATTTCAATTGTATACCTTTACTCCCATATTTATTTCCACCTTTAAAGATCTTCTTATATCTGACATGAAAATGAGAAAATGCGAGGTTTTTGGAATAAATCTTTAGAAGTTCTGTACGTCTCACCCTTGTTTTTGTTTCGAAATAAATATAAGCTTCGATTGACATTACATTACCAGTACCAAATCATCAGCATCATCCAATTACAAAAGGTTAACAAATCAATTACCAATAAATATTGTTTAGATTTAAAAATACACATCCAAAAGTCGCAAAAAAAATCAATATTAAAGTAGCAACAACAATCTAGCGCATACATACACCATATATATATGCAACAAAAAATCTATATTAAAAAAACATACAAGGGCCTATGTGGATAAATGAAAGAAAAACAAAAGAAAAAAAATAAAACCCTAATATTATTCTAGAGTATATCTATATATCTGTATTTACGTAGACCCATAAGAAAAATAACTAGAGTCTAGAAGTAAAATGTTAGAATTATATACATAAATGTATAATAAGAAAAAAAAAAATATGAAAACATGCAACAATAACATAAACCACATAATAAACATAAGAAAGAAAAATATGTAAAGGAAATTGAAATTTAGAGGAATATATGTAAACAAATGCATTATGATATAAACTTGTTTTCTTGCAGAGATTCATTTAAAGGGTTTGACGGTAATTTAGCATAAGATATTGCAATTCGTACAGATTTTGGAATTCCAATATTGATTGCAATCCGCCTCAACAAAAAATATCGTTTTGCGTCTAGATTTTTGACGTGATTGCAACCTTCATTTACTCCTCTTCCGTTACAAAGATCACAAATGAAACACTCCTTGTTTTATTAGAATAAATATCAAGTTTACAAAATTTATTGGTGTTCCAATTAATAACATTGCCATTTACACATACACATAAGTTTTAACAAACGGAATTACAAGGCAAATCGGTCACAAATAGAAATGCTCCTCAAACAATTAAGCATTTGTCTAAATGAAAGAAAAAATATAAAAAATCGTTAAATATATTAGGTATATTTTAATTAAAAGAACATTTTTAGTAAAAAAAGAAAAAATAGATATGAAAATTTCCTAACTAAATACCATCACATCAAAGCATTTCCATATCTGTCGCATGCTTTGACAGGAAATCACTTTATTTCTATCGTATGCTTTGACGGAAAACACTTTGTTTTGCCTTGGCAGCGGCAGTACTTGATTTCTTCGCTGTATGAGGATCGGGGGCAAAACAATTCCAAAGACGTAGAGTTTCATCGGCACCAGCACTAATGACAGTGCTGCCATCGGGTGACAACGCCATTTGCAGAACTCTAGATGTATGACCAGTAAGTTCAGCTTGTTTCACCATTGAGGGATATTTCCATATGGTCAATTGATTATTGGCAAATCCATGGGCCGAGATTAGTTCCTTGTAGTTGCGTGACCAAAGCAGAGCACAAACTTGAGACTTGGAATCCACGGAATTAATAAGAGAACCATTATTAACATTCCAGAACTTGATACATCTGTCGGCAGTACCGCCACCTGATGCCAATACATTGGGTTGCCAAGGACACCAGGCCAGAGCTCGTACTGCCGCCTGATGTTCATTTAGAATATGAAGAGGTTCATTGCCTGTGCCAACACCACCACTAACGGCAGCCCAAACATTTACTAAATTATCATTGCCACCACTGGCCAAATACTTGAAATCTGTGGACCATTTGAGGCCACAAACTTCTTGAGTATGGCCGGCCAGATTGGCAACCTTATGCTCACGGGCTCTAACATCATGGTGGATAATGGAGCCATCACGACTACCTGACGAGACCAAAAAGGAATTCCAAGCCAATGCTCCAACACGGGCCGAGTGCCCATCCATTACACGTAAACGTTTTATTTTGGAACAATCCCAAAGTTCCACGGCTCCAGTATTGTTGCCAATGGCCAAAATCTGGCCTTCCTGTATCCAAGCTAAAGCACAGGCATGGTCACCCTCTTCATACTCCACCAATTGTTCTATGTTACCGGTGGCAGCATTCCACAAATAAACAGCATTACCCAAAGCCACAGTTACAATATTATCGGCACTCCAGTCCAGAAGATTTAGATCTACAATACATAAATGTTAGTTCAATTTATGGCTTTAAGGCCATTTCGATACCTACAATAGTCATTGATAATATCAGGAGCATCCAAAATACGATCTGAAGTTGTGGGTATATAACGCGAACCACTCTTGGTCGATATGGGCGTTTTAATGGAATACACAACCTTCAAGGGATTGGTATGTGATTCTGGGGCAGCCGGGGCCTTGTTTTGATAGGAAAGAATGCGTGTAGTTTTGCCATCTGCCACTTGCATTGAATCCGAAATTAACTTTTGACGTTCAGCCTTGGCTGGTGTCATTTTATTGCTATTATTAGAGTTTCCACTATCATTCTCCTCGTCATTTTCTGATTTTTCCTGTTCTTGTTTTATCTAAAATTTTTGTAAACTTTATATACTTAACCATGTTAATTTCCTCATTACTTACCAAATAGTGTCCCAATTCAAAGTTTGTTGTGCCACGATTAGGTATAAAACGATCTCCTCCACCTGGTGTCTTGGATCCTTTACTGGGCGTGGGAGTTTTCTTGTTCTTTGTGTCGCCAGTCTTACCAGGGGTTTTGGTGGGGGGATTAGCTCCAGAAAAACTGGTATTATATGAAACAGATAGCACTGAGCGACTTCCATTCAAATGACTGGAGGACGAAGCGTCCATCATTTTCTTTTGCCATCTTGGCGGTGGACCCCTTGTAATTTCACCATCCATAGTGAGGGCACTATTGATTTCGTTGAAAAAATTAAATTGTGACATTTTTTTTTAATCAATTTGATAGTTATTTTTCATGAAGTAATGTCTGCAAGGATGCGGAGTATTTTTCTTAAACAAATTCACAACTTGAATTGCCTGATCAAACAATGGCGGCTTTTTAGCGCCCACAAGCTCAGTGTGTTATCAAGCATTAGTGAATGATGCATTCTTGACAGTTAGTGAGTACGTAACGTACATGCATTTTTTTGGGCGTGTTTGTTACAATACAAAAATTTAAAACGATTAACGATTGGGACAATCATGGTAGAAAAATATAAGTAGACGCGTCGACACAGCTGCTGGGACAATGAACTGTCAAACCAATTTTGGAATCGAAAATGTTGAATGAAAATTTATTTAAATTTGTAAAAATTGTTGAAAAACGCGAATTATAATAGCCTCCAAATGACGTAGTATAAGAAAATATATAAAAATCCACTTATATTTGAAAAAACATTTAAATTTTTTTGACATATCAATGCTCCCAAGCGTTGATGCATCTACCTGTATTCTTCTGCCATGGGGACAATGAACTGTCAAACCAATTTTGGAATTAAAAATGTTGAATGAAAAATTATATAAATTTGTAAAAATTGTTGAAAACGCGTATTATAATAACCTCCAAATGACGTCGTATAAGAAAATCTTATGCAAATCTACTTATATTGGAAAAGACATGTAAAATTGTTTGACAGCGTTGATGCATCCACCTGTATTCTTCTACCATGGGTATACGTCAAATGAAGTCGACTGATTGAATACATATTAAATAGTGTAGTGTTTTTTACTACAATTTGTAAATAATATGCTATCTTTTACACCACTCATCTGTTTAGGATTAAAATATGAATACAATTAAGTTGTGATAGTTAAATTTTAAGTAAAAATGATCTATTCAAGCCGGCTATTGTAGTTTGGTATCAATTCACTGTGATTGTCATTTATTGTTTCCTCTCAGATCAGCTGTTATTTTCTTAGTATCAATTCACGGTGTTGCACTTATTGTTTTCTTTTCTGATCAGCTGTTATTCTTTTGCAATCAATTCACTTTGAGTGTCCATTTTCTACTTTAGGAAACCAACATTAAGAAGAAGCATTTAAAATAGTAAGAAAACCATTCCAATCCCGCATCTTCAGGATTATCTCCAAAAATGGCTGAGGGGGCTAATGTTCGTCAAAATTTACAAAACATTCCATCGATATTTGAAATTTCGGCAGCTGAAACATTGGACAATCTCATCTATCCGGCTCTCAGTAAAATATTCGACTATTTGGGTTTACGTTTGGACTTTAAACTCACTGATACCAAACGCTTCAGGGAAGAGATATCGCCCATAGTTACATGGTTGTTACAGTATATGTATCTGCGGAAACGAGGTTCCTCTTTTGGTGAAAGTTTCTATGGGCTGCAAAGAACGCACACAACCACGGGTGAATTGTTGACAAGGCAACAAGAACTAATATCAGCCTCCGTATTAACACTCCTGCCATATATTGAACGAAAACTATTGACACGAGCACAGAATCATGAAGCATATGCCTGGGAAGAGTATCTATTGAAACTATTCAATGCTTATAAGGCTTCCAAGGCGATACACACCTTTATGTACCTCATTAAGTATGCCGGTAGTCATTCACCAATATTTCGTGCATTGAGATTGACACTGCGTTATCCTGCCACACCGCCCAAAGAGGACAAGGCGACATATATTGTCTTAAAATTGCTGGAGGTGCTGGCATTCTTTTTGCAGTTTATACAATGGTGGTATTCGAATGATCAACGGCGTAAAGTTGGTGGCTCATTGGTGAATCCTGAACCGATGGAAGAACAACCGAATATGTTGAAAAAATCCAACACCCCAAAGGGAGATTGTCCCATATGCTTGATGAAAATCGATAATGCCACAGCGTGTTCGGTTTCAGGCTATGTCTATTGTTGGAAATGTATAATAACACGTTTGAAGAATCATCCCACTTGCCCTGTTACGGGCTATGCCATAACTATGGAAGATCTAGTACGAATTTATGAAACTAATTAGTATTTTTTATTTATGATTAATAGTGTTTTATTGTTCATTAGTGTAATAATGGATTATGGGATGTGATATTTATTTTAGAATAGACTTTGTAATAAATACATAAGTTCTATTAAAATATGTTTTTAAAAAATGAATCGATATTTTTATTGAAGTCTGAAGGTAATTTTTCTATAAAAACAGTTTATTTAGAGATTTACCAAGATAAAAACTACTTTCGGTTAGATAAGATAGATTATAATGATATTATTAAGAGTTTGACCAGCTTATTGTTGAACGAATTTAGGTTAATATTTTAAAAAATTTATTTCAAAGACTACGAGAACTGTATATGAGATTTTTAATATCTCTTATGGGAATATTTAAACGATATGGTGATAGATTTTTAAAGCTGTATTTGAAGAACTATCAAAGCTAGTTATAAAGAATTTTATATCAGGGATTACCAGACCAAATATGTGTGGATTGTATCTGTACTACAAATGAAATTGATTTCAAGGACTGTCAGCTTTTATTTCTTAAGAATTCTTGTAGGACTATTGGAACGTTGAAATTTTTGCAAATTTATTTCAAGGACATTTAGAATGAGAATTTTTTGAGAACTTTATTGCAATGACTAATAGAACGTAGATTTTCTTAAGATTTTTATTTTATGGACTAAAAGAATTAGGGTTTTTATACCCTTCACCATACATAGAATGGGGGGTATATTACGTTCGTCATTCCGTTTGTAACTCATCGAAATAATAATTCTAGACCCAACAAAGTATATACAGTGTGAGATAAAAAACTGCAACAAAGTCAAAAGCCATAATTTTTACATTTTTTTTTTAATATTTAATTTTATTGAATGAAAGCAAAAAATAGCATCAAATTTTAGATTTGTTCGAATTTGACACCTTTGGCACGATTTATGGCCTTCAAATGACCAATGAAACCGTCACACGCTGCCCAAATGTTGGTCCATTCCCGGAGAAGCGCTTGCTTGAGTTGATCGACACTTTCGTATTTTTAAGTGCCAACCTTGCTTTCCGGAGATTTTGGTGACCATTGTGCACTGGAATTATAGCGAGGAACCTCATTTTGTAACCATTATTGGGTGGAGCATGCCGAGTGCGATAGCGCTGAGTCCTGTTGAAATGTCCAAGGTCTGCGGCAAAATGTTTGCGTGTCCAAAGCCTTAATACACCCTCCAGAATATTTTCGCGATAATATTCGGCATTTAGCCCGAATAGTATGCAAGTTTGCACATACAACCAAATTAGGCCTGAAAATAAGTCTGCCAAATTTGATCGAAATCGGTTCAGATATAGCTACAGCTCCCATATTTATTGTTCATCCGATTTGTTATTTTTGTCCTCCGCAGCCGTAATATGCACTCTGTAACAACAATATTTTGGGAAATATATCAAATACAACTCAGAAATACAGATTTGGATATAGCTCCCATATATAACTTCGTCCGATTTACCTTTTATTGTGCACCAAACGTCTAATATTTGCCCAAATGGGATCGAATTTGGCACTTCTGGCCGAATTGAGGTAGTGTGCCAAATTTGGTGAAGATCGGTTCAGATATAGCTATAGCTTCCATATATATTGTTCATCCGATTTGTTGTATTTGTTACCCACAGCCGTAATATGCACTCTGTAACAACGATATTCAGGGAAATATATCAAATACAGCTCAGAAATATCTTTGCCAAATTTTATCGAGATCGGTTCAGATTTGGATATAGCTCCTATATATCTTTATTTGATTTCAAATTAATTTTGCACCAAATGGGCAATACAAGTCCGAATGCTTCTTTGAATTTTAAATTATAAAGGGTGTATGATTGAATTCTCCCATAAAAACTTTTAACTGTAATGTGGAGCTCAAATAAATTAGCAAAGTGGTGTAGGGTATCATAAAATCGGCCCCGCCCGACTTTAGGACTTTCTTTACTAGATTTTTTGTGTCTTTCCTTTCAGAAAGTGAGTTCTTTTTTATAACTTCCTTTCAAGGAGGTAGATTAATTAAAGAAATATTACTTTACTAATACTTTAATTACTGTGAAAATATTACTATTACTTGTATTTATTAAAGACATTTTTGGTGGTTTTTATTTCAAAGAACTGTCATAAAATGCAATTTTTAAACATTTTTTTAAGGATTTTATTCCTTAGACTGGCATAAAGTGAATTATTATAATAGTTCCAATCCAAGAACTGTGAGAAAGTGCATTATTTAAAAAAAAATATTTTTCAAAGAATTTTATTTGAAAAACATTTAAATAATCTTATTTCAAAGACTATCAGATCAATAACTTTATCGAGCTTTTAGCCATTTTACTTCACAGACTGTAATAACGTGAATTTTTGAAGAACTTTATTTTGAAATTAATTTCAACATACCTGAAGGAAAATATTAGTAGTAAAAGGAAATTACATTCCCTTGCAGCCTCAAACACACACATACAGTTTTGCCAACAACAAAAGTCAATCATTATCCCCAATCATGTTTGAAAATAATAATGGGATATATATCCTGAACTCAATAACCAAAAAAGCAAATGAAAACAAATTTGGTATTTATTTCGGCAGTTTTATGTTGTTCTAACGGAAATTAAATTCTAAAGGATGCCTAATTCCTCGACTTGATTTCGGCTTAACTTCTTTGTTTGTGGTTATTGATGTTTATTTTGGATTTTGTTTGATTGTTTGACATTTTTATGCTTCATGCACATGAAAACAACCATAAATACTTGGGGCAATAGTTATGCTTGATGGGATGTTTCACATACATTGAAGTTGAATAGGCAGCGAGGAGGATATTCATATTCTTTACGGTTCAGAGAAAGAAAATAATGTGAGAAAGCTGAAGTAGCTGGATATGAGCTCTTTTGGAGGAAGCTAACTTTTATAAAATAATATTTTATTATATTTATACAAAATACTTAACTATTATTGTTTATACCCTACACCACATAGTGGTAAGAGTATTAAGCACATTAAAGTTGGAGAAAATCGGTTCAGATGTAGCTTTAGCTCCCATATATATGTTTTC